TTGTGAATGGGACAGCCAAAAATCTTTATATAAGAAGTCGTTATTCTCGTTTCTGCAGCCAAAGAAGAAAACAATTGGAGCAGTTGGACCGGATTTACTCTGTAGGGCTCGTTCCTCCACAAATCCGCGAAAAGGTGCACATCCAGTGCCAGGTCCAATGAGTATAAGTGGAAGTGATGGTGGTGGGGGAGGAAGAGACCCTTTAGTAATCCATGCCGGTATAAGGCTTCCTGTTTAAGATCAATTAAGAAATTATAAAATATGAACAAGAAATTATGCCAGTAAAATAAATGGTTGAAGATGAGGACATACTTTGTTGCTGAGGATCAAGACTCGCTAGCCACGATGAGCAAAGACCCATACGTTTCCTCTTGTAAGGTGTCGTCCATGATACCACGCTTACTGTTAAGTGCACTTCATTTGGATGAACTGAAGGAGAAGACGAGATGGAGAAAGCTCTTGTTTTTAATGGAGGAACGAGTTGTACCAACCATTCAAAGGGCATCTGCACAGAAGGGAAATCCTCCAGTACCTACAATGAGAAAAAAATGAATATGATAGAAGAGAACTTATGAGGAGAAAGCGTACATGAATCATTTTTCAATTTATCTATCATTCAAGATGAACATAATACAGACACGTTAAATCTAGGTATAAATTCATTCGAAAAGTAGAAAGATTATACATTAGAGATATTTTATTAAAGAAGGATATCAGAAATTTCTGTCCCCTTTCTAGAAAAAAAATGAAAACAATTTTCAAGCGAAGTTGCTGCAATTCATCATTTTTTCTCCTTTTTTGGCATTTATAGGACAAAAATGTAGCGAAGATAAGGATGCTAAGAGGGATGTGAAGTTGTACAAAAACGGAGAAAAGATATGTGCCACAAGTGGGGATGACACTGATATATTAACAAAGGATGACTCAGATGGGCTGGACATATTTTGCGTAGGCCTAAAGAGGCTCCCGTTCATAAGAGTGACAGTCTCATTAGCAATAATATCACGGAATGTAATAGTTGTCAAACATCTAAATGCATTAGATCTTCCCATAGGTCTAGGAATTAACCAAGGTGGCAGAAAAGATTTATATAAACACCAAATTTTATTGAGAAAAAGCTTAATTTGTCGTTATATCTGATTGTAGAATAATAGGCATTCTTTTCCTTGCAAAAAAATTGATCTAGAGATGGCAACAGGCAGGTTAGGACACCCCTGCCACGGGGCAGCAAAACCCTAACCCAAAACCGCCCTGCCACCCCGTCAGATTTTTCGGGTCAAATTGCCATCCCTTTCCACTGATGTTGAACACACATCCAGATAATTAGCCAATTTTACTTGTGAGAAAATTGAACCATGACTTGCTTCCCAGGCACTAGTGCCGTAAAAAAATTCCATCAAGAAAAAAAATACATGACAAAGATCAAAGGAATCACACAGGATAGTTGTCTATCATGTTCTGCACAGCAAATAATCAACATTTAGTCACCTCTAAAACAGTCCTCCGTTCCTTCTGGTTGTACTGATATAAATCATCTCTTCCTTCAGGAGAGACAAAGTATTGAAGTCTTTCTTTCTCATGTTCCGCATTAGCAAAAACACTCATGACCTAAAAACATTAATATATTAGAAAAACTATAGGTTGGCAGTCTCTTGAGCACATTGTCGACTTCACAAGCATCAACTTAAAGCATGATATATTAAGTGAACAGCACAAAACTTAACCAAATTATTGCAAGGATTTGCAATCCTTTAAACAAAATGGACTATTGTGCAGTTTTATGACAGGCAAAACAAAAAGGCAGAAACATAAAAACCTTCGAGTGATCTTTACAAGATAAAATGACAAATAATAGATTACCTCAAAGAAATAGCGTCTTGGGGAAGCTGACGCAACATCCATTGTTAGCTCCACGAATGTTTTTAATTTTACAGGGAATAACAAAGAACTTGCACTGAGTTTATTCTCTTTATCTCTAGGCTCAACCTGGAAACAGTACGCAATATACAGTCACATAAGTAACGCACTACAAAAAAAAATAAAAAAAATAAAAAAAAGGGATAAATAGACTTTGACTTAAAAGATTGAAAACGGGGTGCAAAACAACAATTCTAGCCATGTACGTGAGAAAAGATATGTTCAAACAAACACTCGTAAGGTAGCTTACATGAACCTATAGTTCCCACCCAGGTACTCCATATCAAGTCCAAAGAGAATATGACTTTTTAACTCCATGACCATTTCTAACCCACCTACAGCACTTCCAAAATGCAACACAGAGCACACTAAAGAAGAATCATCAACAAACACTCGTAAGGTAGCTTACATGAACCTATAGTTCCCACTCAGGTACTCCATATCAAGTCAAAAGAAAATATGACTTTCTAACTCCATGACCATTTCTAACCCACCTACAGCACTTCCAAAATGAAACACAGAGCACAACTAAAGAAGAATAATCAAACGGCAGCAAAATCATCCTGCGAACATGTTCCGTGACCAGTGATGGCATGTGCATAACACGTAGACAAATGAACACTCAAGAAAAAATGACATTTACTCAAACAAAAAAATCAGGAGAGGGTTATAAGGGACAAAATCTACCTATATCAACATGATGGTAATATGACAAAGAACCAAAATTAGGTAAGTACCTACAGTTATGTATGATTCAGGGTTCAAATTACATCGCTTGATAAAAGCATCTACAGCAGCAGGACTTTGACCAGGAAGAACCTCAAGAACATCACCAACTTCATATTCAATCAACTGAAAACACGAAACCAGTAAAACAATTGAAAAGAAATTACGATTTTCTCCATTTTCATGAAATCAAGAGGTGAACAAAAATCTCATCAAAACTGATGAGGTCTCTGAATGATTAATATAACTTACACAAGAAACAGCTTCAAACTCAAAGTGACGTACGTCCTTTCCGCTGCCGGCTCTACTTAGTGGACAATTCTTTGTCTACATCAACATATTCAAAAATGTTTTTAAATGTCCAAATCCATGATATAAGAGTGATGTTAAGTACTTGTGATATCAGATAGTAAAACCTCCTCTATCAAAATATATTTTGATTAGAATTGGTAATTAAAGAACTTACATCCACATGAAGAAAATTGTTCAAAACGCAAATGCACTCATAAAGAGTTTTCAGGAAGAATGATGAGTAAGTTCCATGAAGAAACCTCCATACTCACTCCATCCAGAAATCCAATGTTTTATGAATGGTTACTTGACAGCGACCTCGAAATTTAATCTTCCTTATTACCGCCGGTTAACTTTAATATTCTGACTTGTGCAGGAGTGGGATAAAAGATTGAGAAAATAATAATTGTTCAAATTTTCGAAAGTTTTCTTTTTGTGCAATGGGTATAACGGGAAAGCACAATCAAGATGAAGCTCTATTCATGGAAGATGCACATTGTTATAATAACAACGAGTCCATTCATTTATGATCCCTAAAAGTGTTCCATGGTTGCTTCTTCAGGTACATGGAATATTAGCATTAAGCAAAACCCTTTTTTAATGAGAAACTGAAGACTGCATCAGTACCATTTTCAGGAAGCAATCAGGTCTGTTCTTGGCAGAATATTTTCCAGGAGTCATCGAGCGAGCCCTCTCAATTTGCATCTCAAGATACTTCAGATCTGTGCATCCAGAATTTTGTTGCTGATAAATGTTGTGTTTTAATTTTTGAAGTTTAATCATCTTACATACCAACAAGTTTCTAAAACCTACCATGCTTGTGCATGCCAAATCAAACATAGTAGAACAAAACAAAGAAGCATAATGGCATTACAAAAGCATGAAGTGAACATTGAAATCTCACCCCAAAATCCCCAGTGTTTGGTTAGATTTGGGAGGAGTAACAGATAAATAAGCCCTCCATGGAAGGCTTCAACAAAAAATAAAACCTTCTCAAATCTTATCTGGGAGATACATTGGAAGAGTGCTTCCAATAAAACTTTATTTCAATACAGAATTGCACCTTTAACACTTGCCATGAGGAAAAGAGTGATCACTAATCAGATTGTGACCACAAATCCCTTTACACTGACTATCTTCATTGAAATTAATTTTTTTTTTTTGGGGGGGGGG